AACACCCCATCAAATAAAATAACAACTAGCTAAGATTTGCGAAGCCACCCAACCAAAGCCTAACCAGCTTGAAGGGAAGGAGAGCAACAAACATGCCAAACATCAAAACAAGGTTGCAATTATTGCTCCACCCAAAATCACTTTGGCAAAAATCACAAAGAAACGAGTCCTCCAAAACCTCAAAACCACTCATCAGACAACAAGAAACCAGTAAGGGAGAATAAAAGGAGACCAACCCACCAAACTGAACCAAAACAATAAAACAGCACCACTTAAAAAGAACCCAAAAACAGAAAGAAAAACATTTAAGTCCTAACATAAGGAAAAGAAATTTTGTCAAGTCTTAAAAGGCCTCTAAGAGGCATAAGAGAATTGGCTTCCACAAAATCCTTAAAACATCAATACCAACACCAAACAGAGCTAACCACCTAGCACAAGCATTACCATCTTTAAGCACATGAGAATAATCAATATGGATAAGAACCATTAAATGCTTGATAGCACGAATAATATAAAAAGCCTCAGGATCACAAGGAGCATCCACCCCATTGAATAAGCATTGAATATTAAGGATACAATCAGCCTCAATGATAATATTGAAAATATCAAGGGTCAAACAACTATTTAACCCATATAGAATAGAATTCAAAAAAGCCAAACGAGGATTGCCTTTAGAAGGCCCAGTAAAATCGAGAATAACATTACCATAGCTATCCCTAATGATGCCACCACATCCCATAGTATTATTATCCACCTCAGCACCAACATTCAGCTTGAAAAAGCCCACCCTTGATTTTAACCAAAAAACTAGACGAGGACTGGAAGAAGAGGAAGACAACTGCAAAATGAGACCAAGGTCAGCAACAACATAATGACAATGTTTAAAACCTTTCATAGTAATTAAGTTAACCGAAACCAGGCTAAGTAATTTATCTTTCACGTTATGAATAACCCTGGAAAAATCCATTTTAATACCATTAAAAATTGAGTTGTTTCTTTCTTTCCAAATACCAAAGAATAAGGGAAGCAGTGACATTCCTAATATGGCCTTTATAATTCACAAACCAAGCCTTAAGGAGATCATAAATGGACATGTTCCCCTTAAAATTATTTAATTTAAGATATCATCAAAGTTGCACCAGGTTTTAACCGTAATAGGCCCAGACACAAAAACATGATGCATGCTTTCAAAATGGAAACAACATTGGCATTTAGAAGGAATGACAAAACCTCTTTTAGTCAAAATGTCATTCGTAGGAATAAATTTGTTAACAATTCTCCAAATAAAGGTAGAAACCGTTGAGAGGATACTTTTATGACAAATCCTAGAATAAATGAAATTAACCTCTTTTTTAATTCTAAAATCATGCCAAGCATCTTTTAATCTAAGCAAACCATCACTAGCTAACTTACATAAAAGAACATCTTTAGAATCAACATTAATAGGAATAGAGATGATTTTCTGAATAATGCAATCAAGAACCACCTCAGCAAGCTTATCATAATCCCAATAGTTATCAGCGATAAAGTAATTAACCTTAACATTCGCATTGGAAGTAGAATTAATAAGAGAATCAATAGAAACAGAATTTAACCATTAATCCTGCCAGAAAAAAAACATTACCACTTCCAAGACCCCAAGAGAGATGATGCTCCACATCCTACTTATCTTACACATCCTTTGCCAAACTTTAGAATATCTAATATTAAAAGAACAAGTAGAAGGATGCTTCCCAAAACAATACTTAGAATACATAAACTTAGCCCATAAGGACGAGTTAGCACGAAAATTGAATCATAACTTATAAGAAAACGCATGGGCCAGGTCAACCATAGTTTTGCAGCCAAGACCACCCTCTTTTAAAATACCACAACACTTGTCCCATGAGGCCCAAGTAATTTTAGTGTTGCTAGAAGAGCCTTTCCAAAAAAACTTGTTAAGGATAATATCAATACGATTACACACCCATTTAGTGGGGAGCATAGTTTGAAAGGAATAAATAGAAAGAGAATAAAGCACATTTCTAATGAGGGTAAGCTTACCCCTATAACTCAAAAAATTAGACTCCCAGGACATGAGTTTATACTGAACCGAAGAAGTTAAATCATTAAACAAAAAAGATTTTTTTCAACCTTTAAATAGATGAATACCAAGATACTTGATAGGTAATTGCCATGCACAAAACCAGTCAAGTCCTTAATAACTGAGATATGATTCATCTTCATATTATTAGAAATAATAAAACAACTTTTAAGATTATTTAAGGACAAACCACTAATAGTGTAAAAATCATGGAAAAAATCAATAAGTTTATTAATATTATTACGGGAAACATTCATGAAAATGATAAAATCATCAGTAAAGTAGAGGTGAGAAATAGGGAAACCCCCCTTGGTTCTGAAATACATGTTGTTGTGAATTTCAAACATGTTTGCAATACTCCTAGAAAGATAATCAACATCAATAATGAACAACGCAGGGGACATAGGGTCACCTTGCCTTAAGCCATGAGAAGAATTAAAAAAACCATCACTCTTGCCATTGATAAGCAAAGAAAAATAGGATCCCTCAATACAATTTTTAATCAGATTAATAAAATCTAAATTAAACCCAAAAGATTGCACGATGTTATACACTACAAGAAAATGGGTCAATAGCGACAAAAAAATTAGAGACAAAAAAATTTTGGTCCCAAAAGTAAGGGTGACCTCTAAATAATAAGGAATATAGATATTAGCCACCGAAAAGGAAAATTGGCAGCTAAATTTGTCACTAAAAGTCTAGAGATTTATCTTTTACAAATATGTACATGTTATTTTAGTGACTAATTATTCTTTTTAAAAGTGTACATAATACATTTTTAAAATATCATTAACATTTTATTGTTGACCTCATTATTCGAGGTCAATTTCCCCGGAATTAATCTCTAACACCTAGGTCTTCATAGCCTAATGTAGACGTCGTCTTTAGGATTTTTCTTAGGTGGATACCCAACGCCATAGCATCGACTCGACCTTTTGACTCGACCTAAGTCATGAAAATTTAGCTAAATTAGAGAGTATGTTGACCTTGTTTTTCCCTCCTTCCTATACCACCTTCTAAACACCTTAAAACTATAGCATTTTCTTTAGATCTTATCTCCATACATTCCACTAACACTCCAAAGTCATTCTAGCTCCTCAATAAACACTTAAGCCCCTCTACTAACATAATATTTTAAGACTAATTATATTTATTCAAGTTAAATCACATAGACCTAGACTTGAAATTTTCCCATTTTGGTCTCCAAATCTCATGAAACTTCACTAAACACTCCATATCATAACTAAATATATTTCCCTAACATTCCCAAGAGGTTACATGCCTTGGATCCTCCATCATAAAAGTCTCCATATTTGAATCCATGATGAGAGCTCTAGGGTTGGCCATAACTTAATCCTTTGGCTAACCCCTTTTTTTTAACCTCCAACTTAATAAAATTATTCTTACTTCTCAAGAGTGTTTGCCATATCATTTGTATCCCACCACAATAATAAGATGCCTTGGATTCCCTTTCCCAAGGCTATATTAAGGAAAGTGATAGAGAATGAAGATAGTAAAAAAATGCTTCATGCGGCTTCCCAAAGACCATATTTATAGGTAAGTCATTATACTAACATATAAGATGTGATCAAATCAATATGGCTAGCCAATAATGATATGAAATAATGTCAAGTCAAAATATTAAATTCCTTCGTTCTTTGGAATATGTTCAAAAAGATAAGGGAATCAATAGATTAAGTGTACGATTGAAGTTTTTTGGTTGAGACCAAGATAAATTGGCTAACTAAAAGTTTCTAGAATATTGAACTCGCTAGAAAGAACTTAATCAAGGTAGTCCGATGAAGGTGCTCGATTCAAGGTCAAAGGTATACTTAGTCAACTTGCATAAGGAACATGGCCTCAAGGGCTGATTAGTTCAGTTTGTCAAACCTATTCACATAGCTACTTGCTGGAGCTCAATTAAACTATGTGTAGTAGGCCTGTGATTTCACACAAATCGGCTTCTTATTTAGAAATGACAAATGCGTGTTTAATGAAATTAAATAGCAACAATTAAAAATAATCATTTTTTTATGAGCCTTCTTTGATATTGTCTATATTATTAAAAAATAAAAAAATTAGATTTTATTTATCTTTTTCGTTTGTATTCTCTCATTTCTTATTCATTCTTGTCAGTAAAATTCATGCATTTTTGACATATAAAATTAGGTTAAATGGTCATGAATGTTGTTTTTATATGAGGTTTTATAAAAAAATTTGGAGATATACATACATACCACCATATACTACTCTATTTACATATTTAACATTTAAAACTTTAAAATTACATACATACCACTCAAAGTTCATTTTCATATCAAATATGATTATATGAGCGGTAGAAATGAAATATATGAGTGATAGGAAGGAAATATGCGTGGTATATTTGATATTAAAATAATTTAGGATATTATGTATGCAATATTAAAATTTTGGGTGTTAGATATATAAATATGATGGTATAAAATAATATGTATGTAAACTTTCCAAAAAAAAATTATAATTAAAATGAATATATAAAAAGTTAATTCTATCTTTGTTATTTTTTTCTTTCTTTGCAATGTAGGATACCAAAATAAATGATAAGACATTAATGTTATTCCAATAAATTATCTCACTGAGATCTTATAAAAATATGATGATTTATTTTGGTTTATATAATTCTTCTGAAGATCGAAAAAAATCTACTTAGAGAATTTGAGCTATCAAAATTAATAAGAAATGAAAATCTACACGCCGATGTTTTTTTTTTTTACCTAAAGTTTTCTTCCAAATATACTGCAAAACCCGAAGATAGCGGGCGATGCGGACCGCCACAAAAGCATGGTCTTTTTTGCCCCTGAAAGAGTTTATTTAGGGCAACAGTGCGAGGGTATTTTAGTAAATATAATATCCGATCCTTACTTAACACCATCGCACCTCTAAAGGTGGATTCGAGGACGGAAGGAACTAGGGTTTCTATCAAGGAGCAGGGTTAGGGTTTCGTTTCATCTGTTTACCAATCAGAGCTGTAGAACGAAGCCGTTGATTCGTCGGTTGGTTTCTTTTCGCTAGATCCAGCGATGCCTCCCCGTGTGGTGAAGAAGACCGGCCCGGGAAGAAGACCGGCAGCGAGAGCTACGAAGACTGTCGTAAAGCAGCTGCAAAACCAGCCCGATGCAACTCAGGATGCGGAGAATGTCGAGAAGGTTGAGTTGAAGAAGGAGGTTCTGTCGGAAGAGATCGTGGAGATCAAGTTGGAGAATAAATCAGCGGAGGTTGTGAAATCGGTCCATGGATCTGTTGTTATAGGTCTGTTTGTCATGTTCTTTATCTTACCAAAACCCTTCTTGTTTTATTTGCCATCAAGAGCTACATGCATGTTTCGTAATATGTTTCTGAGATTATTAGTGAAGGTGTGATGCATCATCTAATTCCACGTTCCTTTTAAAGGATGATTATGCTGAGCAACATCAAAGCGCTACCCTTTCTAGTTTTTTTTTTTTTATTATGCTTATTTATCTTACCAAAGCCCTTTGTTTTTTTTTGGTCATCAACCCCGACATTCATATTTTGTATAGTGCCTCTCAGATTATTTGTGAAAGTCTGGTGTATCGTCTGGTTCTAGGTTTCTGATCTAGGATGATTGAGTTGAGCAACGTCCCGGACTTATGTTTTCAAGATTTTGTTTATTTATGCTTGAATGTGAAAAATGTCTAACTATTTTCTTTGCGTGTTTCTTTCCTGGTTTTTTAAAATTTGAAACTATATTTTCTTCCAATTATTTGACATGAGATGCATGCTTTTCACTTTTAAAATTTAGATAATTAAGTGTTCTTTTAAGTTGTAAAACTACAGTGCTGAGCAATATATCTTTAGGGGCTGTTTGGTAGAATTTAGGATTTCATTTAAGTAGGATTTCGTAAATCCTCCAAATCCCGGATTTACGAAATCCTGAGGGGTTAAATCCTGAAAACTGCTTGGTAACATTCATGATAAATCTAGTTAAATCCTTTGTGACTGTTTGGCTGTTCATTTTAGGATTTAAGGCGGTTAAAAAGTTGACATACTTTATTAGGATAATTAAAGCACGACAAGAAAAGTTTAAATAAAATATAACAAAACTTTATTAATACTAATTAATTATTTAATTATTATTTATAATATTTTATAATAATTTTTTTATTTTAGATCATATTTAGAATTTTCCGTCCACGGAGGATTTCGTTTACCGTGAGATTTGGATTTGCATTTTAGGCCGTTTGGCTGGATTTCGCCCAAATCCGGCCTTAAATCCGCCTAAATCCGCATACCAAACAGCCCCTTAGTCTTAAAGTAAACTAATACGGGATAGTTTAGATATGCATTAATTGGTTGGTTTACATTGTAAGGCGATGAATATCATTTTATGGCAATGCAAACTGTTATGTGGTTTTACTCCCACATTGTTTTTAAAATTTTAGATGCTGAAAAAATGCAGATCAGCATACAATTGTTATGCTGTTGAAAATTGGAGAGCATAAGTACATAACATTTATTATTTATTATGGTAGAATTGTTTGTAAGCTCATGTATGATCAGGATGAAGTTTTTTTTCTGGTTTTTGTAAAAATACCAGGCCTGCTTTCATTGGTTACTTAGATTTAATGATTAACTGTTATCTTTTTAATTAGATAATGAAACAACATTAGAATATTTTTAAAGTTTATTAATATTCAAATAAATTAAAGTTTATCATAGTACAAGCAGTGGAATGAAAATTTTTGAGATGACTCTTGTACTCTATGTCAAATATGGGTGTTGCGATTCATCACTCAAAATTATTGTTTCTAGATCTTTCTAAAAAAATGCTCATTGTTATTTAAGAATCTCAGGTTACATACAATTAGCTACTGAATTCTTATGTGGAAAAGCTGAAAAGTTTTCTAAGGATGGTGACCTCATTAAGGCATTAAAATTATCTTGGGTTTTGGGCTTCATTTTATTTTCAATTTAATCTTTTTTTTTTCAAATGGGTTATTCTACTGTTTATTTTTTGGATTCTCTTGTGTCCTACGCTCTTTTTGGGTTCAACGCTTCATCATCTTCGACCAAAATTCTTGTTCATTTTCTTTGATTGGATAAATATACGACAGGTTCTTTGTAGGTATTTCTTGATTGAAGGGGATGTCCATGAAGCATTGTTATTTACCTTGTAAAGCATCTTGGTGTTCGATTTTAATTATGGATTCATTTATTCAGTGGGATAAAAACTGCATTGCACATTCGTATGCGCTGTTATGATTAAGAATTTTTTTTTGTATGATCTTCTCAAATATATGCTAGTCTTTTTCCTCCTCTTTCTTTTCCCAATATTTGTGGTCACATCAATATAACTTTAGCATTATTTTCTAATATTTTTATCGTATTTAGTTTTTCTTTAGCCTTTCATTTATGATGATGCATGTTAGTGCTTGCTTGATACCATCCTTTCCATGAACCTTTGTTACATGCTAAGTTGAAATTGTGTGAATTTCCTGCTTTATATTGAAGAGGGTCCAAAGTATATTACGGAGGAGGATGATAAAGGTGAGCGCCTAGAATTGGATGACAATGAGCCAGAGTATGAAGAGGAAGCTACGGTTGACTATGATGACAGGATGATTGATGATGATGGCCAAGAGGTGGATGAAAGCGAAGAGGAGGTTGAGGAAGGTGATGTGGTTGAAGAGGAAGAAGGGGATGTGCTTGTTGAGGAGATTGAGGATGGTGGAGAAGATGTTGAGGATGAAGAGGACCATGAAAACATTGAGGAGGAACATGAGGTTGATGGAGAGGAGGAAGAGCATCATGAATTGGTTAAAGAGCGACGCAAACGGAAAGAGTTTGAAGTCTTTGTTGGAGGTTTGGACAAGGATGCCACTGAAGATGATCTTCGAAAAGTCTTCAATGAAGTTGGTGAGATCACTGAAGTCCGGCTCCTGATGAATCCTCACACAAAGAAGAACAAAGGCTTTGCATTCCTGCGTTTTGCATCTGTGGACCAAGCAAAACGTGCTGTTGCAGAACTCAAGAATCCAGTTGTATGTGATCTGCTATTGAACAACCTGTTTTATCGATATGAATATTGTATTTTTTAGTGAAAAATATGTTGATGCTTCAACAATGGTGCAGATAAATGGTAAACAATGTGGTGTTGCTCAAAGTCAAGACAGTGATACACTTTTTCTGGGGAATATTTGCAAGACCTGGACAAAGGAACATGTCAGAACACTTAAGTTTATTCTTTGTTCTTTTGCTTGTATACTGCCTAGTTTTTTTGTCATTATTTTGATTTTTTGCAAAATACTTCAGTTGAAGGAGAAATTGAAGCATTTTGGGATAGATAACATTGAAGATTTGGTGTTGGTCGAAGATGCTAGTAATGAGGGGATGAATCGTGGGTTTGCTTTCTTGGAATTTTCTTCTCGTTCTGATGCCATGGATGCTTATAGACGTTTGCAAAAGAGGGATGTAGTGTTTGGAGTTGATCGATCTGCAAAAGTTGCGTTTGCTGATTCATTTATTGAACCTGATGATGAGATTATGTCACAGGTACTTCAGCTGAGTTATGTTAATCAGTCATGATGTTCATTTGTAGGATTGAGAATCTTTTGTTTTCTTAATTATATAATTTTAGAATCTTTTGTTTTATCTTGAGAATCAATCTCTTTTGTTGTTTTAACAATTTTTTTTTGCACCGTGTAGCAATTTTATTTATATGATATCATGTTGGATCAGTGAAGCTTTTATTTTCTAAGCTTTTGATTCTGAAGTCAAAGTTAATGAAGAACTTAGACTTTTGAAAAGTCTTTTAGAAGTCTTTTCTTTTGCAGGTAAAAACTGTTTTTCTTGATGGAATTCCACCTGCATGGGATGAAGAAAGAGTCAAGGAGCATGTCAAGAAATTTGGTAAGATTGAGAAAATTGAGCTTGCTCGTAACATGCCAGCTGCGAAGAGAAAGGATTTTGGATTTGTTACTTTTGATATACATGAGGCTGCTGTTGCATGTGCTGAAGGCATTAACAATGTAGAGCTTGGTGAAGGAGATAACAAGGTATGCCTTAAGTTTTATTGTCTGCTTTTCTTGTGTGCACGATTTTTAGGTTTTTGTAATTTGTATATATATGTGAATGAAAACTTTTTTTTTTTAATATTTTAGGTGAAGGTCAGAGCTAGATTGTCTAGGCCTCTTCAAAGAGGTCGAGGAAAGCGTGTTTCTCGTGGGGATTTTAGGATTAGCCATGTTCCTACTCGAGATATTCGTGCAACTTGGAGTCGTGCACCTGTTCGTAGGCTACCCCTACGAGCATCTAGAGGAAGCATTGGGCGTGGGGCACCAGTTGGTGTTCGTGGTGTACCTATTGGTGGTCGCGGACCAAAGAGGCCCATAGGTTTGAGAGAAAGACGAAATATTGTAGCATTTTCAGAGAGAACCAGGCACTTACCTCCGCCAGATCGGTCCTATGGTCGAAGGCCATCGAGTATGCAGTTGTTATGCTCTTACTAGATAACCTGCTTTTATCTTTTATTGGAGCTAAAAGAGCTATTATTACATTTATGAAAACAGTTCCAGTGTACCCTAAGAGCATTTCTAAGAGGAACTATGATCGGCGTGATGAACTTGCTCGCAGAAGTAGAACCATTGTTGAATATGGTTCAAGGATTCCCACTGAGAGGCGGCCATCATATGAAGATGATTATTCTAGGGGGGGAGGATACTCAGACATCCCTCCTCGGACTTTGTCCCGTTCAGCTGAAAGGAGACCATATGTTGATGAAGGATATGGCAGAAAGCTTGAAAGAGCTCTTCCATCTTATAGAGAAGGACGCAGCCGAGATTATGATTCTATTTCTGGATCCAAGCGTCCATATTCAGATCTGGTGGCTACCCATTTACTATTTTTTTTTTCTACCAAGTCCTATTTACTTCCTGTTAATAACCTTGAAGCTTTGTATTGTCTAAGGATGACACACATCCTCGTTATGCGGATGTAAGCATGAGGCAGTCAAGGGCAAGATTAGATTATGGTGCTAGCGGTGGTTCAGCTCAGTATGATGATAGCTATAATGATAGGTCTGCATTTTGTTACCTAACTTGGATGATTGGACATGCAATTTTTCTTATAATATTTGTTACATATGCAAACCTTTCTCATATTGTATACTTTACACAGATTGGGACGTTCTCATATAGGATATGGCAGTAGCCGCAGCTCTATCTCTGGACGTGATTCCCATGGGCTATATGGAGGCCGCCATGGAATGGGCTACAGTAGTGGTTTACATCTGCAGAATTCTTGCATTTGGATTTATTTAAGTTAATCTGTTTACTCAACTGCTTATGTTTTTATTTAGACTCGGTAGGTGGCAGTGATGTTGATGGGCTGTACTCATCATCAAGCTACAGCAGCAGTTATCTATCTCGTGGTTCTGATGTAAACTCTATGAACCTTTCATGTTTTTACAATGCAACTCTTATGATCACTTTACCTACCTATTATTGCCTTGATTTTAGGTTGGAGGAAGCTCTTACTCTATGTACTCTGGTCGTAGCTTGGGTGGCGCTGGTTATTTGCGTGGTAGTGGCTCTGGGTCATACTACTAAGGTGCACAAACTTTTGCTCTGTTTTCTTATTTTTCCCCTTTTCTTTTCTGTATGTGTGAGTTTACCGGGCTAGTCCTATAGCTAACTATAGACTATCATTGCAAGTCACTTTCAGAGGTATCATGATGCTATAAATAGCAGAAAGTTTGGTGCATATGGGGTTTTCATGATCACATGGGTTTGTCTTGACACAGATTTTACATCAGAAGGATGGTGTAGGCTGGGCACCGTTGGAAGCTTCTGGATTTTGGTGCCTGCACAAATGGACTTAGTGTGTTATTACAACAAGCTTGTAGAATTTGCTTCCACTGAGAAGCTTCTTGGACTTGAGGACTTTTAAGCTTTAATCCGTGGAGATATTTTAACGAGGATTTGTTGGAGAGTTCATTATGTTTGTAAGGATACATAAGTTTTTCAGTTTACTAAACCAAGAGACAAGTATGGTAATGTATTGCATTGCTTATTATTTCTATTACTGCTAAGATCTCGACATGATGGACAATGAGCTTTGCATTTTAAGCTTTTCTATAAAGTACACACATCTGGCAATGCTAAAGCATTGAGGCGCTGGACAATGCAGAATGTTAAAGAGGTATAGGAATTAGCATTGCAATCATATTTATAAAGGAGTCTGAAGTGACAGCGAATGCTACTAAGGCGGTATTGCACATTATCTCTTTTCCTGCATAGATTTTCATGTGAATGTCAGATTTTTAAGGAAAAGTTTGATTTCATAGGATAATATTTGCATTGCTGTTATTCATCCCCAAAGGATTTTCAGTAGTTTTGGCCGCAACATTGGACATTGGCTTTGTTCTTGTTAGTTTCAAAAGGTTTTGGAGACTTTTTGTTGTATATTGTCTACTCTGATTGGATTATGAAGCTTGACATACGCAAATTATCCCACAACTAGGAACTTGTGAATTGCAATTGTCACATCTGGGATGCTAAAAATGAATTCAAGTAGAAGAATTATCACCCCTCTTGAGCAGTTTATGCTCATACGAAGTAATTTTTGGGATCCTATGGAATGCAAAAGCCATACTTGTTCTTAAATGCTTCTGCCATGCATTTAAAAGTTGCATTTATAGATGGGAGTTGGACGTTTTTTTCATTCTTTAACTACAGAGCACTCTACCTTCCTACATGTTATTACCGTTATTATAAAATGCTGTCCATTTCTTAAAGCTCAACTTGATCAAAGTATTTGATTACTCGTCAATATAAACGACAGAACTCTGGATATGGGGTGATATGATGCTCAAGATGAATGTTGTAACTTGTAACAAGTTTCATAAGTACCAATTCAAGAATTAATGAATGGATGAGTTCCATGAATAAGTTGAACATTTAAGATGCAGTATGGCGTGGGATGGAAGAGATTTGTTCGAAATTTGCACGTGTTAGCTTGGAAGCTACTTTCTTTAATTGATCAATGTTGTCTGATAGTTTCCTGCAAGGTTTCCAGAATTCTTAATGATGTCGATATAGTTACTTAGGCTCAGATTAGACTTTATAGGACTAGAAGTTCAAATATGCTAGTTATACCTCTTAGAGCAGCCACAAAAATAAACTTTTTTTTTTTCTTTAGAGTGGGTATAATGCTGTTATTTATGTTCATCTATGGTAAATGAATAAGGGTGTTGCTTTATTTGATTTAATACCTGGCAAATGAATCTTCAGATGCACTCTTTATCACTCAATATATATTTATGGTTAAAATATTAGTGATTAGTATTTTCATTTTGACTGATTTAGTGATTTGACTATTTCCGTTATACCTGATTTATGTTTTTTATTGGAGTAATTTTGCTGGTGTGGATTTGCTAATGGCATTGGGTAAATATTTGAATGGCTGGACTCAGTACTCGTATATTGAGTTGTTTTAAAAGCAGGCATTGGGTGAGGCATTTTACATTTCATGGGCAAGGCATAAGCTCCACAAATCCTTTATTCTTAAGAACTTACAAATATAGAAATATGTTTGCAAGTAAAAAACAGATGAAGGATAAAATGAAATTCAGAATAATACAAACAAATTGCATAAAGTTATTATTCTTTATGTAATAATATAGAAGCTTACATAAAATCGCATTTCACTATTATCTCTAAGTTTTGTGGTCCAATTGACATAAATATGTAAAGTTAAAAGAAATTAAATTTAAAATCAAGCGAACAATATATCAGTTTCACTTCTCAAGTCTTCATTCTCTAACCAAGGTATACAAGTTAGATTTTGATGCAGGTTTAAGTTTCGAAAACTTAAGTGTCAGGATCAATTTCTACTTTATTTTTATCATCTTTGAAACTATTATCAACTTGGGGTGCGACAAATGAGTTAGGGATTATACATTGAATTATGTCAAATTTTACTTCTGTTAAATTATTTGTCCTTAATAGAAACTGAGATTTAATTTATTTGGCTCCTATATTTAACGAAAAAAATAAAAAACATTGCTCCCAGTGAGTCTCCCTCGAAAGAGATCAAATTCCCCCTTCATGTCTTGCTTAACCTTTTATTGGGTAAGCTCTAAACCTCTAAGGCACACGTGTAATTCTCTTTTCAAAATATGGAGTGTAATGCCAATCAGAGCATTATATGAAATACTTTTTTTAAATAGATGTTTTATGTCTATTCAGACATGTAGTATTTCTACTCTATTGATTTGAGAACTCTTTTTTTCTCACTGGCGCATGCTTCATACAATTCCATAATGGAGGGAGCTATTTGCCATCATAGCGAACTTGTTGGTGGGGTAGTATGTTATGAGACGCAACATTGCAGGTCGCATGCCTCAGTAAAGCTAGCTATATTTCCATTGTTTAAAATTGCGTAGTATGAGGCTAGCCTTGAGGCTCGCCTCAGGGCAATTATAGTGGAAAACGCCTCGATGTTATGCCTCACACTTTTATTTATATGGCTAAAGCGACGGCTTGGCTAAGGCCTACCTCGCCCCATATCCCTAGCGCGAGGCTTACGCCTGACCCTATTTATATATGTTTTTTTATAAAAACTTATCTAAATCCTAAACTAAAGCCCTGAACAATGTAACTTGGATCTTTCATATGGACCACTTCAAGCGAGAAATTTGCAGCTTTATCTAGTGACGTGATCGACTCAGTCAATTGTTCAGGTTTATTCTCGTATATTTATTGTAACACCCTTCATGTACTGTTTCCTTATATTTGCATAGCTTAAATACGTACAATTTTTCCAATTACTTCAATTCGGCTGAATTAGTATATAGCTTTCTGGAAAGAAAGTGGCAGTGATAAGGAAACAGAGGAACAAATCATGCCCTCATGCACCCCGGAGCTGCTATAACTTTCTCTTGAATATCTGGATCTCCAGCCTGCCATTTTCGTTGCAACCATCACCGTCGTAGCCGCTGTTTGAAATCACTTGAAAGCTGGACACTAACACCACCACCTTGAAATTTTTTTTAGTATAATCTCATCTTTATGTTAATTAAAAACATTTAGGATAGAGGAAGGACTAAAATAAATGAAGAAGTAGATTGAGTCTTTGGACTTCATGAGAGACTAATTTGTTATGACGAGATCTCAAATAAAGTTCCACTTAGTGATGACAGAGCATATATTTTCTAAGTTTTTGCCAACTATTTAAGCTTTCTTTAGGAATTAAATATGAATATGTAGGGAACTAAGAAAGAAGGAATTTGGAGTTAAATTTGATATTATATGACAATTTTATGCCATTCCTGTATTTAATATTGTTTTGCTCTAGTAATATTTAAATTTTAATTCTATTTCATGTAATTTATCATTTGTCACCTTATGTATTGTGCAATTTTTTTTGTTTCATAAGTATGTTAATTTGTTACTTCATAGTTCAATAGAAAGTTAATGTCATTCTCTAAAATATTATTTTATTATTATATAAAAAATCTCTTTTACCCTTTATTTTGACGTTACAAATTTTTTATTTTAATTTTAAGACTTATGCCTCAAAACACCTTGAGGCTTAAGCCTCCCCTCACGAACAAAAACATTGTAATACTTGATTGCGCAATTTTAAACCTTAACTTTTAGAGTGATCTACGCCAAATCATGTAAACACATTGATGCAAATTTGAATATATATATATATACTCATTGAAATGCAATACATGCTCATTGGGACAAGAAAATGAACAGCAGGAGAATAGGTTTTAATTTAGTAAAATTTTATTAACTTTTTTCAATTTTAGTTAATTTTTATATGCGTTATGAATTTTTGTTTTAGTTTTATCAAAAGCATGCTATTATGTTGGATCCCTACAGAGAGACAAGGTTATGTTAAGTAATTTCTATGCTAGTTTAGGTTGTAATTATAGTCTAGTTATAGGGATGATCCATCTTCTATGGATTGGTCTGTATATAGACACATACATGCGCCTATAACTGCAATTCAAAGACCTCTTCATGCACTAACTATCATTGGTTATCCTCACGTCTAACGGTGCCCTACTTTCCATTGTCTTCGTCTATTTGTATATGGGTCTTGCAGTTTTTATTAGCGCACTAGTGAACCATCCCAAAATAATGCTTGATATGATCTTAAGTTTTAAATCTTGTGGGTAGATCTAGATTGCCAACTTTGGTCTCTTTTATTTTTGTTAATTTAGCTGAGGTTATGTGATTATAAATGCAAGAATACTTAAATATATAAAATTAATTCCAATAAATATTTTTTGAATATTTTATTTTCTCATTATGCTTGATTGTTGGTTAGATGTGAATCTAAACATTGTTTTTCACTCATCTCCTTGCATTCTTACTTGATATATCTTGCTCAGATCCACTTTTTAAAATATTATGGCTCCTATTATCATAACTAACACATCATCCTTAGATGTACGAAATATCAAAACTGCATCAGGTCTCGCAAACTCTCTGAAATTCTATTTTAAGCAACTCATCTACCTATCTTTTAAGTTAGATGTTCATTTGGCATGTCTTTTACTTAAGTTCTTTTGAGATATTAAAAATCGTAGTAACTCACGATCAGTGTTTAAAACAAATTCCTTTTGAATAAGATAACATCTCCAAAATTTCAGGGCCTGGATAATTACATAAAATTCCACATCATATGTTAAATATTGAGATCGAGAATCATTTATTTTCACTCATGTAAGCAATGGGTCGACCTTCTTGACTAAGTACAGCTCCTATGCCAATATGGGATGCATTGCAGTCCATCTCAAATATTTTATCTAAGTCTGATAAGCTAAGAATGGGAGGTTCTCTCATTTTTGTTTTTATCAGTTGAAAGGGTTGAAAGGCTTGTTTAGCTTCAAGTGTCCATTTAAAAATTCTCTTTTTAAGATAGATAGTGATGAGTGCAATTAAAGTACTGAAGTTTTTTATGAACCTATGATAAAAAGGATGCTAAACCATGAAATCCTTTAACTTCACTAATATTCTTCGGGGTAAGCCAGCTTTGGATAGCTTCAATTCTGACAGTATCTTCCTTAATACCATCAACAGAGACAATATATTCAAGAAAAGTTAAGCTTTGTGTCATGAAAGAAGACTTTTTTAAGTTGATGTACAAATTTTGCTCTCTTAAGGTTTGTAGGACTTATTCCACATGTTCACGATGTTCATTAGTGTGTTTACTATAAATTAGGATGTCGTCAAAATAGACTACCATGAATTTTCCAATGAAAGAACTTAAGATATGATTCATAGTCCTCATAAACGTGCTAGGGGCATTAGGACTTATCCGATAGCGAGGGATATTGGGTAAAGGTGCTCCAGGAATTAGGTCGATGTGGTGTTGAATATTTCAATTTTGACAATATTTACCTTAATACACCATCAACAAAGACAATATATCCAAGGAAAGTTAGCTTTGTGTCATGAAAGAAGACTTTTTTAAGTTGATGTACAAATTTTGCTCTCTTAAGGTTTGTAGGACTTATTCCACATGTTCACGATGTTCATTAGTGTGTTTACTATAAATTAGGATGTCGTCAAAATAGACTACCATGAATTTTCCAATGAAAGACCATAAGATATGATTCATAGTCCTCATAAACGTGCTAGGGGCATTTGATAATCCGAGAGCCATTCATATAATCCTTCTTTTGTTTTGGAAACTGTCTTTTCATCAGGTCGAATCCTTATTTGATGATATCCACTTCGCAACTCAATTTCGGAAAAAGACCTTTGCACCACTAAGCATGTCTAGCATTTCATCCAATCTGGGAATGGGAAACCTATATTTGATAGTTATCTTATTTATGGCTCTACTGTATACACACATCCACCAGGTTTTATCTTTTTTGGGTGTAAGCAAGTTTGGGACAGCACATAGACTCATACTTTCCTTAATCAAACCTTTGTGTAGAAGTTCAGTCACCTTTTTATGTAATTCATCGTGTTCAGTAGGACTCATCCGATAGCGAGGGAGATTGGGTAAAGGTGCTCCAAGAATTAGGTCGATGTGGTGTTGAATATCTCTCATGGGTGTCAAAGATTTTGGTAATTCATCAGTGGTTATATAAAAATATCCTTCAATCAAAGGTTGTATTGCCACGGGAATTTCAGAAGATTGTTCAGATTCTTTTCCTAACATCAAATAGACTATCTCATAATTTTTTAGCTCATTTGTATTGAGAAGTAATTCAGGAGTGGTTGCTTTTGATGTCGATTGGATGTTTTTGGTAGGAGGGCCAGGAATATTTTTCTTTGGGTACAAGGTGAATTCTTTGTTGTTTTGAGTGAAAGAGTAAGTATTCTTTTCCCCATTGTGAATTGTTTTGTGATCAAGTTGCCAAGGATGACCAAGTAAGATTTGACACACTTCAAAGGGCATAATGTCAGACACTACTTCTTTATAGGAGCTTCCAATTGAGAGGTTAATAATGCATTGTTGTGTGACAGGGACCTCTCCTTCTTTAAACCAGGTTATCTTGTAAGGTTTAGCAAGTGGTTTGGGTTTTAGCTTAAGTTTGTCTATCATTAGTTGAGATACAAAGTTTCCTTTAAATCAGCTTATTTTGTAGGGTTTAGCAAGTGGTTTGGTTCCACTTTCATTTAAGGAAGAAGCCGGTGGTGCTTGATTCTGATTAATACAAGCATCTATTTTTATTTTCTATATTGTCCATTACCATGTAAAATTTCTTTTGCAACAGTTTTTTTATTATTTTTTAATGTAATTTTTTTATATTTGAAATTTTTATGCTAAAAAATTATTTTACAATGCAATAAGAAAGCTGTCCTAAATGAAGCCAGAGTTGACTAATGAGGTCTAGTCTAGCAATATTCAAATTTTCAGAACTCCAGTTTGAGTTCTTTGGTTTGTTTCACTAATATCAATATAATTTAAATTTAATTCAAGTTTACCATTTATTTTCCAGGCTTGGACTTGGGTCATCAAAACCTTTCAATGTTAAATGTAATTTTTATTTATTTGAGCCCATCTGTGAGTCTGAGAGACCGAAAATCATTCAATATATTGGAGCCCGATTTTAGGTTCAATTACAAAAATTCTAACCGGTTGTTCAAGGGGACAAATTTTATAACTAGTTATTATTTTAAATTTATTAGCTATATAATCATTAAAAAAATTTACAAATGGCTAAAGTCGGCGCTTTACTTGAAGTTTACTAGGCCGTCCAAGGTCAATTAGGATGCGTCATGATACCTAATACATATTAGTACATAGTGATGATATACAATATATCAGTGACGTAAAAAAAAAAAATATCAGTGTTGTGACACGTCTTGATTGGCCTCTGGGTGGGATTTGGTGACCGCATGTGAAGAAGCACCGCAATCATTTTGCCAAAGTTTGCCTAGCTGAGAGTAAAATTCCTGTTTAGCTGCGGCTTGAAAGACTTTGCAGGGATGTAATATTTTTTTAGCCAATTGAAATGATTACCGAAATTGTTTTTTTTGAAGGTTTTTGAGTGCTAAGATCTGTAGAAATGTATTTTTTGAATTTTTTTTGGACACTAAGATCTGTAGATCTGAAATGTTTTATCTGTATAAATGTATTTTTTGAAAGGTTTGATTTGAAAATGTAGTTTTTGAAAATTTTGGCAGAAATGTATTTTTCGAAGTTTTTTGAATGCTAAGAGCTGTAGATCTGGCTGTATTATTACTTCCAAACATTGTTCGGGATCTGAATTTTTTTTTAAAGATTGGAGATATGTGGGTAGATTTTATGTTCCATGCTTCTCATATGGCTGAGGATTATTTTTTTCACAGATGTTATAGTTTTAGTTGGTTGAAAGTTTCGCGATCTTAACTGTTGGATTCATTCTACTTGAATGATTTAGGCTTACTGTTTTATAATACAAAAATTTACAGTTCAAAAAATTATTGTACAAAAAAATTGTTTTAAAAAATAATAAGAAAGCTGTCACAAATAAAGTCTAAGTGTAGGGTCAAAAAAAATATGAGATTGATCGTAGCAGCAGTTGTTGGCTGTTACTTGTATGCTGATTTTTAATTAATTAGTTATATAATTATGTTATAATTACTTTTAAGTATAAACTCATCAACTGTTTTATTACTTAAAATTGTAAATTTGAACTTTTATGATAAAATAATGTATTGGAAAATATAACGGAAAGAAATTAGTATGGTTTATAAAATGTTTAAAAAATAATGATTGATTTTTTAACCTAATTTTTAAGTATAATATTGTTTAAGATAAATTTTGAGGCAGCTGTAGTTTTTTGTTAGGTAAATGACATCGTAAACAGTTTTGGAGTAATAGGTTTATGTGCGGTTTAGAGAAGGATTAACATAAATTGTTCTCTTTTGTTATTTGTTTTTTTAATATGGCTAATTATAAGGAGTAGGCTGTTAAATAGCATCTTATAATAAAGAAGTTTGATATTGCATATAAAGATTTTAGTAGTAATGCCTATATTATATGTGGAGGTTGAGGAGATTGGTGCTGCACCATACATTGAGAAGATTATTGTCAACTGCAATAGGGAGGAGAACGTTGTAAGTAATGTATTAATACAAAGTAACTTTTCTTTCTTGAAAGGTCACATCAAGATGTAAATTTGAGTTATTTGATGGGCAAGTTAATTGGAACTAGTCAATGTCTAGAATTTCAGCTAAGCATGCACAAGCCGAACGCTCACTTTATGAGGGTACAAACATGGAATTAGGCGCTTGGGCCTGAATCTGAGTGTGTGGAACATGCACTTATTAGGGATTATTGTGCGAGGAATATGAACACGGTAGATAGAATGGTTAGCACAAATGCTTTTGTAGGTATGCGTATGCATGCATGCAGAAGAGTGGAAAAATTAGTTGAATGTAGATGACTCCACATAAACAAGGGAGATAAGGGATTATGTTGACATATTAGATAAATTATTAAAGGGCATGTGTTATTCAAGCAAAAGGGATATTCAATTCCCACTTGTGGGTTTGTCCTTCAAGAATAATGTTGAATTTTAGGCTGTCACTTCAACCCAGAAGATATTACAATATGTTGTGTTACTAATTATTCCTTTTCACATCCATGCCTTTGGAGATTACACACTTCTGTTAGTCAGTGCTTGGGCGAAGCAGGGAAGATATCATCTATTAAGAACATATGTACATGCTCAAACCTCATACTTCTCAGCAGCTAAGGCAGTACAACTCTATAATCATAAGTAAACTTGTACTCCCAGTTATTCGAAGACCGATAGATCTTAAGCCAAGAGAAATAATTTCTCTTGTTGAGGCAAAGTTTAATATCAGGATGTTGTACATGAAGGTTTGAGTTGCTAGGATGAAGGCTATAAAAGTCATTTTTTGCGGTTGAGAGGAGTCATATTATAGTGTCAACCTATTTATCGAGGTGGTTGTTTCAGCCATGTCTTGTACTATGTATAGGATACATTTCTCTAGTTCATATAGATTTGGGCCTAGTGTATTGGGGTGGAGATTTTGTCGGCTGGCATTAATTTTTGATGACACATTCTTGCTTGATAAGTATTGAGGTGTGCTACTAACTGTAGTTGGAGTTGATGCCAATAATGGTATTTTCCCTGTCGCATTTGCCATTGACGAGTCTGAATGCAATGCTTTATGTTGTTGGTTTGTACAATGCTTGCATGACATGCTTCCAATTGTGCGTTTGAGGGAGAATTTATGTTTTATCTGTGATAGAAATGCGGGTTTTGTGCATGGTTGCAGAGAGATCTTCTAAGCGGCTCATCATACTTTTTTTTAAATGTCATCCTCGACATTTTTTTATTTATCCTTTTCATCAATATGATATTTAAGCGGCTCATCATACTTGTTTACACCTTAGAGAAAAAATTAAGAAAGTCATTCATGGCATGGGCATATCTTTCATAGACTATATGTCAGAATATGTACTTAGCAGACAGTACATATGACCTACATTCAACACACAAATGAAAGATATCCAAAATATTAAGTAGGAAGCCTACCAATGGCTAATTGATTGTGATATGAAGAGGTGGACATCGAGCTATGATGGGGCTTTTAGGTTTGGTTTGATGATAATGAACACATATGAGTTTTCAACAATTTTGTTTAAGCAAGCTATGATGGAGGTTTTCCAATACAGGTACGCATAACTTCAATATATTATTGTTATAGTGTTCTTGAAACACTTCGGGTATGTACGTGAACATGATGATGCTACAGGAGATGCATTTTTTCTTGAAGGTTCACAGTATGTTAACCAAAACAAAATAGGAGGCTAGACGCATAACAAATGCTAGATTATGATTTTTGAATTTTTAAAAGAAATTGATTTTTGAAGGATTTTTTTAATTAGTTTTTTAGAAGATTTTGAACTTTAGTTACCAAATTCTAGATTATGATTGAGGTTGGCTATTCCAAATTTTAGGATTACTAAAATTTCACAATCTAACTTATTTGGTAAGAGGTTCTAAAATTTATAGGAATTACAAAAATTTTGAACAATTTTGAAATCCTCTCTACTACATTATGAACTAATGGGCTAGAAATCTCTTTTTTATTTTTATTTTTTAAAGATTTGACCACACTTGCTTGAGGAAAAAAATGGGTAATGTAACCAATAGAAGAATGGTAGTCCGAGCTTATGAAAATGTAAACATACTATTGATGGATAAAAAATAAGTTAGCTACAACAAAAGATGGGGAGAATAACCCTCCCTAGCATTATCAGTTTATCACTAGAAACTTTATGGGAAAATAAATCCTTGATTTTAGAAGTTCTACTTTTATAATCAATTACAGTATTGAGGATAGCATATCATTTCAAAAAATTGAAAACATATTATACAAAGGAATCGAAAAGAAAATTAAAGTTTTACAAAAAGTATCTATGTTCCAAGAGACTTTCCCCTATTTTATGGGAACAAAATAGAATTTATTTGATTTTCTCTTATATAAGTAAATCCTTATAGTTAGATACATATCAATAAATGTAAGTTTCCTAAGAGAAATCTCGATTAATATAGTGAAAAATATTTTCAAGATTTCAAAATTGTAGACAAGGATGGTCTTTTTGAATTTTCCTATGAAATTGGCTCAAAGTGGCATAGTTCTTTCTAGAACCATGCTGGAAAAAATTTTAACGTTGTACTTGTAGATTTTTTATATAACCATGGAAGAAAAATGCTATATTTTGAGTCAAATTACCTTAAAATATTTTGTTGGCAATTTTGACAGTTTTTTTCTTTCAAAATGTGATAGAGCTATCAATTATAATTTCACTAGTAATATCTATTCAAATGTTTGATGACCAACTACCATAAATTTTGATGGCACCTGTCGACAAAAATTCTGGCAAAAGCTACTTTGGAAATTTTGCCACTAATCTTGGAGGATGATGATTGTCAAAAATAGAACAACAAACTCATCATATCACCATTTTTGATGGTTTTCATGCCCAAAATTCATTGAAAACCTACAATACAAAAAAAAAAAAAAAAAAAATGATGACCAACTACCATAAATTTTGATGGCACCTGTCGACAAAAATTCTGGCAAAAGCTACTTTGGAAATTTTGCCACTAATCTTGGAGGATGATGATTGTCAAAAATAGAACAACAAACTCATCATATCACCATTTTTGATGGTTTTCATGCCCAAAATTCATTGAAAACCTACAATACAAAAAAAAAAAAAAAAAAAAAAAAAAAAAAAAAAAAAAAAAAAAAAAAAAAAAACCAGATTGCCTAAATTATTTAACATAAAATTTATACAATCACAATCATTTAAAATAGTTCATTTCAATATATCTACCTAAAATTTAAACCATGCCAAGAATATCAATGCAAAGGTAATTACACATTCAAATAAAAGAAAATGTTTAAATACTTCTACAATAAATGTTGAGTTCTTATACAAAAAAAACCCAACATAAAATTTACAAACACATGTAGTTTAATCAGAACTTGGATTGTCATTCTCCTTTGTCAATGTTGGTTGCTTTCCACTAAATTGCCCCCCATTTTTAGCAGGTCCTCCAATATTTAACTTAGATGCATTTGCATTTCATCTTGTAATTTTCAAACATTTTCTTGCTCTAATTTCTAATATCCATAACACACATGAGTATTGAAGACTTACATATAAATAGATCAAATATTTTTTCTCCATCTAATCATAAAAATTTTACTTAATAACATATAGGGAATTTCCGAACAACTTTCCAATCTCTCTAAAAGTATATTAGATATACAAAACATATCATGATAGCTTATTATAAATTTTAGAGGTCAAGTGATATTTATCATAAAATAAAAAGTGTTAGCTCCATGATGATCATATATAAATACTATACATAAGGCTTGTATTATATGATTACATCGATATGAATAAAATAAAATTTCTATCAAGATTATTGATTAACTTAATCTAATCATAAATTACATCCGTGATTCATTATTTTTGAATCAAATATTATAAATATTATTTGATTAATATGTGTATTAGAAACTTTGTCACAAGTTCAAGAAAAATTGAGGGTTGTTATTGGGCAATATATACCTTTAAAGCGTAAAATGAAAGCACACAAAATTAAAATAAAGATATTTAAAATGTCTTCAAGTATTAAATAGTATATC